CTCCAGCTCACGTGTTCTGTAACGCCATTAGAATTCAAGGATTCTCGGCGTGCGGACTCTTATCTGCAAAAGGCTGCGCAGAAACAGTTGCACAGCGCTGGGGCGGGCAGGGAATCACCAGCGGCGCACCACTTGAAGAGATTAGCAGGCTGAATATTCACAACTGGTGGCATTTTAGCGTGCGGAGGTGGAGAGGGGCTGGCTTCTGCTGCTTCTGCTGCTTCTGCTGCTTCTGCTGGTTCTACTGCTGCTGTGGTGGTGGCTGTGGTGGCTGTCCTTGCGTGGCATGTCACCCAAAGAATGTCAGATCTGAGGATGTGTTGAGCAGTGAATCACATTACACACACACACACCCACTTACAGCATTAGATGAAGGGCATTAGGGTGCGTTAGAAGGCATGGTGTACAGTTGGTAACAGGCCACTCAATTTCTGTAATGAGTGGCTTACTGTATCTCATGGCTTGGTTTGCAGAAGGGATTGCTATACTTTTGAGTGTTGGTATAACTTTTGAATCGTTTGATAGGACTGTCGATATTGCATGGTTTAGGCAAGGCAAGTTTATTTGTATACAATTCATACACAAGGCTCAACTCAAAGTGCTGAACAACGCAAGATAGACATTAAAATAATGAATAATCACAGTACTTTAAAAATAAATATGAAATTATAAAATCCCTCAGTTGTATGCACAGCTAAACAGAACTGTTTTTAACCCGGATTTACACATTGTCAGAGAAGAGGCCTGTCTCAGACTTTCAAGAAGACTGTTCAAAATGTTAACAGCAAGAGGCCAGTCCCTGTGCTTCTCAGAGTCCGAGTTAGTTCATATGGGATTAACATGTCACTTATGTACTTTAGTGAGAGGCCATGGAGAGACTTATAACAAGCAGAGCTGTTTTAAGGAGTAAACAGCAGCGTTTTAAGCAGTCTCCAACCTTTTCCCCCTGAGTTACCTATTCAGGACAAAAATGGCAGTGAGCTCCTCCTGAAGACAGTGGAGAGAAAGTCGACATACAGTATTTGTGTGCTGCCTACAATGAATTAAGCAGTGTGTATCTTGATTTGAACACATGTTGATGTTCTTGAAAAAATACATTAAAGCATGTATTATTATTCTTTTTTTTACAATGCAGTCTTATACCCATAAAACAATCAATCATAATGTAATAGTGCTCTATGCTACAGTAGGGGCAATAGTTGTAAGCATATGAAATTATCCTTTGGGGAGCTACTTCGAAGAGGGTGGTGGGCTACTTGTAGCTGCCGAGCAATAGGTTGGAGACTACTGGTTTAGAAAGTAAGTCATCGTTATTTTTAGAGCGCGTTCCCAGACCAAGGTCACACAAAACGCCTTGTACTTTGGTGTAATTCCCTCCACATGCGGTGATGACAGAAGCGAGACATCAAACACCAGCGCATCACCATCCTATTCATTCTTATTCTACATGTTTTTTGTGGTAGGGAGTAGGCTATCTGGAGCAAAAGAACATGCAAACACACAGAAAGACCAGTCTGGCAGGATTCTAACCCTGCTGCACCATTGCCAGACAATGTAGAGAATAGTTTTCTTTTTTTAATTGTTCACAATTTAAAATGTAACAGTTCTCCGTTGGGTTGGTGGTGCTCCAGGCCAGTATATATATTATTGAGTAAGGTGGTGACGACATATTTGGCAACCCCAGATAGGAAATTTTCCCCACTGTGGGACGAATAAAGTTTCTCTTATTCTTATTCTTATTAGTGTGAAAGCAGTAAAATCACTGTTTTAACCAAAATACAACACTATTGATACATGTATATTTAAAGAGATTGTATATGTCACAGACAGGAAGATTCTGGCTCTTTGAATGATTGAATATTGATTGCTGAGTCAAAATATCAAAATCCTTATGGATTTATATAGTTTTTTGAACAAATATGAAAAGAAAACAAGGATATAGTACTAAAATTAACATCAATATTGTATATACTGTAATAAAAAATAAATATAGATTAAATATAAGCATATATAGTTAATTATTTTAGATGTAGCTTGTCCATAATAATACCAGAACACACTTAACTGTAATTCATCATAATTTCATTGGTTTTCAACTATATTGTGGTTCACTTGAATGCTTTGTTATCATGCTGTCATGTAAATGAGAAGTCTGATGCAATCTTCTGCCAAATCTTCTGGTCCATGTCAATAGTTGGACAGTGTAATGTATTTTTAATAGTGTTTATTCTCCCGCAGCCTCCTTCCTAATCCTGACTCCTGCTGCACAGTACAGAGCTCCATCATTGTCAGTTATCCTCCAGTTTCTGACTGGGATGAGCCTTAACTTCGGGGCATTTGACTCACAACAAGCTTTCATCATAGCCCTGTGCCTCAGTATTCGTACATCAGAGGAGAGCGTTACACATTCACTGCTATTCTAATTATAAGAAATGTTGTGAGAAATGTATGTAACTTTGAATAATGTGGACAAGCATACAGCCTTCTGTTAGCGTCTGTGTGCTTCATTATACAGCAGCTTAGGACTAGTTGTGTAGACCCTGTGTATATTGTCAAAGATCAGAAAGGTGTTGTGCCTTAATACTTTAAAGTTCACTCCTTGAAGAAAGCAATGCATTTTTTTAGTTTTTATTATAGGTCTTTACCAAATGGTTCCGATGCAGTTTGACGGTAAACTTGCCTAAAACCAAGTTTCTCCGAAGAGGTAAATTTCAGTTCCAACGCGACCCACAAAACCTCTATAGTAACTCAAAAGGTGAATAATTGAGGAAACCATTAAAGGGTTAAAATCCGACCGAGGCAGCGGTGAAGGTTACGGCACAATTGACCTGAGGTTTATTGTAGCTTTTCAGTTTTCCAGAAATAGTACAGTTACGGGTGCTTTTAAGGCAACAGTGTACGTCATTTCAACAGAGATATAAAACAAACAGTCCAAGGGTCCCACCCACTCACTTCCTGGTCCGTGTCTTAGCACGAGCACTTCCTGTATTGAACTTTTCATCTATTTTCTGCAAAAAAAAACAATAAATGGCCTTGTTTTACACCCATCTTCAGGACCTTCTTAATATCAGCAGCTTTTCCACACTTTCATCTTCCTCAAGAAAATAAAATAAATAAACTTCCTGGTTTGCTTAGACACAAACTAGGAAGAGGGACTTTGCACAGAGCCCATATGAACAAGTGTATAAAAGACTTGGTAGATCATGTCTGCGACAGAGGTATCACTCAGCTACAGTTTACTTAAAGGCTTTATCCGTTAAGATATTGTTGTCCTGTGTTTGTCCTGTTAGAGTCAGAGTTCATGTATTCAGGCTATAGCTCACAATAGTTCCTGCTCCGTACCTTTTGTGTGGCAACGCTTTGCTTTCAATCTAAATGTGTTTCTGCCCAGACACAACTAAGATGTGATGGATATGAACGAGAACCCAAAAGAAAGGAGTCAATAATGGCCTTCGCTGGCAGTTTTTATGTGACAAATGATGTGAAGCAGAGAGATTTGTCAAATGGTACATACGCAATGTAATAAAAGAAGATATTATAAAGGTCTTATCGTGTTTGACAACAGACTGTGGGGAATTTTCCAACTATTTCGATGCTCATTTACAGGATTCATGTTGGCCAAATCAAAACTCTAAGTTAAATGTAAATACTGTAGTTGGATTTTACAAAATTTTAGGAAAGAACCGCCCTCTCCACTTATTAAAAAAAAACTCCCTGGTCTTATTTGATGAGCACGTATCCCCAGAATGATTGACAATTAGGAGGACCAATAGTCTTGATGATCCACCCGGAAGTAGAAAATCCTCCTATATACCTTTAAGTTCATAATCGCAACTTTTATTCTTCCAATTTCTTTCATCTCAAGCCTCGTAAATGCTCTTTCCTCTCAATCATGGACCAGTTTCCTAACACCTCACCCCATACACCAAACTATTCTGCTGAAACTATGGCTGGTCAATAAGTCAAATGTATTTAATGAATCAATATTTTTGGAAACTGAATATGTGAGAAATGTCAAAATCATGAAATTTAGGTCAGGATGATGTTTCTTCTGGCCCCTGTTTCTCGGGTCTGTAGTTGAGCAGAGTATTGAGCAGGACAATACTGTACAATACTTTTATGATTGTTGGGGATGGAAATTAAAAATATATTTGAAATTTGAATATTGAGATTTTTAACCGGTAGTTTTGGTTAAAGTCGATTTAGAATTGAAATCCTACAAAGGGTTAAATCACACCTTTGAACCTTTTTGCCGTATCGTTCAGAAATGTGGTTTTTGACTGCAAATATGTAAGATCATCTGGCATATCATTTATATATAAGTAAACTGATTCAATGATAATGATTATTGCACCTTGTGTTTTGTGACTTCTCCCGTATATTGAGCTCTGGTGTGTGCTATCTTCAGTCCGGTGCACACTGGGGTAGCCTTGCACAGTTTTTCCAATGTGGTTTTACTGCAAATGGCAAAACAAATCTTGAATCTATTGTACATTTGATAGTGTTTTCTGTAAAATGCATTAAACCCAAACTCTCTCTCACCGATATATTGTAGATAAGTTGAATATTATACACAAAGAAAAAACATTGGATTACATTGCACACACTTCTAATCTGATTGTTCTTACTAACCAAACTACTTCTCTCTCTCTCTCTGTCTCTCTCTCTCTGTGTGTCTCTGTCTCTCTGTCTCTCTCTCTCTGTGTCTCTGTGTCTCTCTGTCTCTCTGTCTCTCTGTCTCTCTCTCTCTCTCTCTCTCTCTCTCTCTCTCTCTCTGTGTCTCTGTCTCTCTCTCTCTGTCTCTCTCTCTGTCTCTGTCTCTCTGTCTCTCTCTCTGTCTCTCTCTCTCTCTCTGTGTGTCTCTGTCTCTCTGTCTCTCTCTCTCTCTCTCTGTCTCTCTCTCTCTCTCTCTGTCTCTCTGTCTCTCTGTCTCTCTCTCTCTCTGTCTCTCTGTCTCTCTCTCTCTCTCTCTCTCTCTCTCTCTGTCTGTTTGATTGCAGATGGAAGAAGTAATAGCGCGCATGCAGGATGAGAAGAACGGAATCCCCATCCGGACGGTGAAAAGTTTCCTGACCAAAATCCCCAGTGTATTTTCAGGTAAGCGCCTGATCTTCCTCCTCTTCTGTCTCCGCTCATGGCTCCCGCCCACTGTCATGCATACTCACACTTTGCCAAACAAAACAACACAAGTGCTTAGAGATTTGTTTCTTTGTACAGTTCACACCAGAAGTGGCACCAAGTCAAGTGGATTATATTGAATTTTCAAACCACCAAAACGTGTGTGCTGACGTTCGGGTGTTGCAGAGAAAGAAACAAAAAATCTTTATGAAGCTATCCCCAGTGTCTAGTGTTAAATAATTCACAAATGATGAATGGGGCTCGTTCACCTGTAGGCTAAAACTAAAAGTGCAGCGCATCATTGGGCAGAGGCTTGGCTGATGAGAGTCTGGATCAATACGGAGAGATCAAATTTGTGTTTTAGTGCCGCTGATGATGGCAGCAGTGTTTTGTATGATTTTTGCCCCGGGCCAAAAACAGGAGTCTGGATCTGCCAAGAAAATTACAAACTGGACTCAAATCGGCTTTGATTGGTACGAACTGTGGTGGCATTTTGGCTGCGAAATCCTCAATAAAGTGATGCTAACCATATCATCATTGCATTCATACACGCACTACAAAAAATTATGAAATATTAGGTTAAAACTCCTTGAATCGAGTGGTTTTTATCTTAACTTGAGTAGATTCTGATAGTCTACAACAGGATTTGCCAATGGGACAAAGCTGTTTAGTTTTTTTTTCAAGAACTATTGCTTTCATTTCTCATTCCACATTTCTGGTATTTTTATAAGACAAGATCCTTTTGCTGGTCCCATTGGCAAGTCTTGTTTTAAGGCAGTCAAAATGTGCTCAAATTAACATATCTATCTAACAAATTTGAGCAGTTATTAGTTGTTATAGAACACACTGCAAAAAGTGATGAAAAATAAGTCAAAAATGTCTCAACTTTGGCTAAATGTATCTTTTTGAGCACATTCTGACTGCCTTAAAACCAGATTTTCCAATAGAACAAGCAAAATGAGAAAATAAAGTTCTTGAAATGAGACTAAATGGCATTGTCCCATTGGAGAATCGTGTTTTAAGGCAGAAGTAGTAGTAGTTTTATGTGAGCAGTTTTACAATGTATTTTTTACAGGCACATATAATTCAAGTAACAAAGCTCAAAAGGAGAAAACAGCAAAAAGCTTATAGGTGCCTTCCCCATTATCAATATTAAAGATTCCAACTTTCACATGACTTTCCTGATTTTCATTCTTTCTTCTTTCATTTTGTCAATGCAAACAAAAAACAGCTATTGTTAATAAAAACAATGTCTTTGTCAGAATGTACTCAAATTAAGATCACACAATTCAAGCAAATATTAGCTCATATTTGATCATTTTGTGCAGTGCAAGTTCACTGGAGGCAGTATAAACAGCCCCAGTCATGTTTGCACGTGCACACGCATCGCACGCACAGCTCATCAACTTGAGAGTCCTATTAATCAATTCAGGAAACAGTCTTGATGGAGGATTACCTTATACATCTCATTAAAGCTCGGGGGAATGTGGGTCAACTGTGATAGTGTGAAATTGTGACTCTATAAATTACGATAATCCTCGGAGGATCTCATCTGGCTCTGAAATGCTAAATGGTGCGTGTTCATGCGACATAGATGGAAACATGGATGTCACCCGTGGGGCTCTTTCGTCATCTCCCCTCTGCTCCTGTCGTGTCCCCATCACACCCTTCTCACCTGTCAGCCTGCACTGCAATAATAGAGCTGGGTATATTTAGCGAAGGTGCCGCAGTAACGGGGCTGGTGTGAAGAAGTCCACAGGGCACACTGCTGCTAGCTTCATATTTTTGCTCCGCGATGTGAAAATGATTGTTGTGTTCCCGGGTGGAACCTACGAAATGAACAAAGTCTCATATCTGACATCCGGAAAGGTTTGCTCAAATATGTATTCTGGGGCAGACTGCATCAGCATATACACTGTTGCACAGGTGTTCTATGGCCATGCAATAAGCATCCTATATGTACACCTTCATTTGTCCTACAGTGGGGAAATGTCAGTGTTGCATCATCAGGTACAGAACAATAGGAATGAGGAGCACACAGCACAGGATAAATGGTAAATAACGCTATACTAAAATAAAATAAAATGTATATCTTTAAAATAATAAAGAAGCAAGAATTGAGTACAACATCTATAACTGACTGTATATTCTAGTGTAAGAAATATATAGTTGTATGTTTACATCTGTATATGTTAGTAGCATGAGGCTGTGACAATGAAAATGATAGATAGATAGATAGATACTGTATATAGATAGATAGATAGATAGCAAAAGAGGAGCAGCCGCTTGGTTCGGACCATTTTCTCTGCTCTAGTTCAAAGTAAAATGTTTCAAAAAGTTAGCACTCCAGTGGATTTTCACCTGATCCACTTGTTCCGGACCATGAATCCTCTTCGCTCCGGTCTGGACCCGTGCAAAACCATGAACACTGTACTGCAGCAACATCTCGGGAAGAAAAAAGAAAAATAACACTTGTAAAACACAAAACAACAACTGTTTCAGAGCTACTTAGGACCGTACCATTTCCAATGCATTCAACATTCATGTATAGTGTACGTTATATAAGTGAACTACTTAACTATTAATAACAATAATCATACATCATACTTACACAGAGCGTTTTTGGACACTCAAAGATGCTTTACAGAAGAACAATAATAAAAAGCTAAAATAAACAGTTAAGTGTAGGCATTAACTTTCTTGTTAAGCTAAACTTAATATCTAGTCAATAGTAATGTAGTCTCTTGCGTCCACTTTGCTGAATAATATAAATAATAATGGTAATAATGTTTTTGTTTAATCCAGTGTTTTTTGGGACACTAAAAGTCGCTTCACATTATTCATTCACTCGATACAGTTGGATGGTTACTACTGTAGTCACAGCTGCCCTGGGGTAGACCGGCAGAAGCGAGGCTGCCCATCTGTGCCAATCATTTTCTCACAAATCAACAGTTAATGTAAAACTGTGCTTTATTTAAAAACAAAACAAATGCAGTTAAATGTGATGATCCTGGAACACGGCCTCAGCTCCTCCTTCACACCAACTTTCAGTCTCTCTTTCTTCAGACGCTAAAGATAATTACTACAGAATAGTTTTAGGAGCTTATGCACCTGCACACAGCTCTTTGTTGTGGATTCTAAATTAAAGTATGTTATTGTCTTCTGTGAGGAACATGTGTGGTTCTAAACTGCGTGTAACAGTTTCATGTTGTTCGATCATATCAATGGCGTCAGAAGGGAATATTTGAGCGAGCTTGGCCTTCCACGTGTGCAGAGTGAAGAATTCGTATGCATTTTGCACTGTGTGAGAGGGAAATAAGGATGAAATTACGATTTTCTTCAACATTTCAATTTATATGAGAGAAAAAAAATATATACACACAGACACACACGCACATAAAATAAAATCAACCAATATCCAACACAAAACCATTATGTGATTAGCATGAATTTAGAAAGGATTTAGAATTTCACTGAACATTGTATGCAGACATGTTCCTGAACTTAAAATGTACAAGAACTGTTTTGTGTTAACATGGTGGTATTAATAGGACTGACAAAGGAATCACACTAATGAAATCTGTGACAGCTTTTATTAGTGCGCTGGTGCCTAACCACGGGCAGCACAACTCCCAGGACGAGAGTCAGTGATGATCTGTGTCCAAGCACGGCACAAGTCTGTGTGTATGAGCTGAGCGTGCTCGGCCGCCTCTGTCAGGTGGACCACGCCTCTGTCAGGTGGACCATGCCTCTGTCAGGTGGACCACGCCTCTGTCAGGTGGACTACGCCTCTGTCAGGTGGACCACGCCTCTGTCAGGTGGACCAGGCCAGAGCACGATCACTCATCAACACACACATGCACACACACACGGCTGTCTGCAGTGTTGAATCTGCTTGGATCTAGTGTGTCTATTCCTTCACAACACTTATTTCTCTCCCTCCCTGGCACACTTTTAAATTCTGGCACACTCACACTAGGGATGTAAATCGGCGACCGTTTAACCGGTGGTTGACCGTCACAGCGTTAACCGGTCAAAGCTGTCGGTTAAAAAAGAGAAAAAGGGGAGAGGGGAGGTCTCTTAATAACGCTATTTTAAGCCCTATTTGCACGGTGTGACGAGCGGGTCTGTATCTAGCTGTGTGCGCCCATGTATTATAAACTCCGGGACGACTCTCACGCCGCACGAGCCACATATGCACACACGCACGCGCGCGCACACACACACACACACACACACACTTGCCCCTCTCCATACGTAACATCCACACGCATCATCTCTCCCCTCTGTTACCGTCAAAGTTGCACACTGGCGCGGGTCAGAACTACATTGGAGCTTACATTTACACACACACACATATACATACACACACATACATACACACACACATACCGGTCTGTCGCGCTCCTCTGTGTCACGGAGCCCAAAGGATTCGCGCAAATACGCGGCTCCAGTCAAACCACATGGAACATGTTTGTGTTTATGGTCCTCGGGATCAGCTCCACACACATCACTTGTATTTAAACTTTTGTGAAGACCTGTGAGACGCGACTCGTCACTCGCTGCTCTGACCATGTGAACGAGCCGTCGTTTGCTGCTAGAAAGTTTTGGTATTAACCCGCAGCACAGCAGAATGGGAAGATTAAAAAAGCAGTTCTACGTCATGGTGCTACGTCCCTTAGGACTTTGCTAGTGGGATATCACTCGTGACCCCCAGGTCAACGCCAGAGAGATCAAAATAATTTGCTCCAATCACCAGCCACCTTCCTCTATAAATGCCCCTGCACAAGGCCGCACCCCCTCTTTCACTCTGGCGCCGATTGAGATCTACATTCAATTACCTGAGGAAAGATGTCTTCTGATGCTCATCCGAGTTCCCCTTCGCCATCCGGCGTCGGACGTCGTCGTTGCTCGACTTGTCGGGTCAAGCTCCAGCGCAAGGACCAGCACTCCAGCTGCTTCGTGTGCCTGGGTTCGGG